ATAGCTATGAGAGTGAATACAACACGTCTGAAAAGAATGAGAACGCATCTGAATCAGTTCGAAGTGTGCGTGACATAGACAATTTTCACGTTGTAAGTGAAGCATTCATTTGCTGAGATGCGAAAATGTCAACGATTCGAATTTCCAAAAAATTTACAGGAGGTCGCGTGGAATGTTCGAATTTTCAATTCATATAAGCAATCGAAGTTCAAAATTGACAAAACTGAGCCAATGTAAAGAAAGTAAATGTACTCAAAAGACAAACATTGCCGAAATCAAGTTCAAAGCCAATCAGTGTGAAAAGCAACGGCTGAAAGAAGAATGTCCACATCAAGGCCATTGCTTTCTCTTCATCCAGTGTTACCTCCTGAAAGGATTTTCGTTTAAAACTTGCAATATCGCGAAAGTTTGTGGATGTAACAAAATGTATATTTCGTTAGCATTCAACAAGAACAATAATTGTTTTTATCGGACATTCTATCTCATTATTGTTTATCCGACTAAAATNCTCATTATTGTTTATCCGACTAAAATCAAGTTGTATGTTGAAGTTTGACTATTTCTTTGCAATAAATTCATTCCGTTACGTTAAATGTATCCAAAGACTGGATCTTCATTCTCTCACACCATCTGGTAAAGGTTCTTTGCTCACTGATCCCAACTGAATTCAGTTTTATTTCTATCAGTGAAATTCATTGACTGGAATTCGTTGAATTGCGCCATTCGGAGAGCTTCTGTTGTCGACTCGTCGAGAATTCGAATATTGCGCAGTCTATTGTTTGTAAGACATTCAGCATAATAGGAATACAGTAAGAACCTGTTCCACATCGCTACTGTATTCTTTTTTCCACTGTGTCGCCGCAACGAAAGCACCGACTAGAATCGCGATTGGACCAGTTGAATCGAAACCAAGTGTTTCACAGCCAAACAACGCTAGCAATGCAAGCTGCCCCAGTACGGCCAAACGTGCAAAGTGGACATTTTTGGAACCTTTCTCCGGTATGTACCACATCAGAAATCCTAAACCAAACGCAAAAACAAATGATCTTTGAGACCGACTGTTTGCTTTGACTGTCATAAATTTCAGTCAACAAAATAACAAGATAAGTGAATTTTAGACATGATATCGTTTTAACGTAATGGATCGTTTTAAAAGAGCTGCTTGATGGAATATCACCAAAACTATCACATATCCAAGAGAGCATTCTCGTGAAACGCTTAAGATATTCATTTCTGAGTGACAAGTATGCTACGATTATTCAAATGCAATTTACAGAAATTGATCAATATCGGAAATGTGCATGCCATTTGTGATGATCATGGAATCGTTCGTAATATTAAATTAA